CCACATCTTTAGGTATTTGTTACATCAGCACCCTACTCCTGGTACCAATTTCTGTCTTAGTATGTTTGGGCTGCTCTAAGAAAAATATCATAGTCTGGGTAGATCATATCCAACAGAAATTTATTTTTCACTGTTCTGGAGGCTGGAAGGTCCAAGATCAAGGCTGCAGCAGATTTAGTGTCTGGTGAGCACCCACTTCTTGGTTCCCAGAAGGCCATCTTCATGATGTGTTCTCACATGGAAAAAAGGGTGAAGGATCTCTCTCGGGCCTCTTTCATAAGATCACTAATCCCATTCACGAGGGCTATGTCTCGTTATCTAATCACTTTCCAAAGTCCCAACTTCCTAATACCATCAAATTGGGGGTTAGGATTTGAACATATGAATTTGGGAGGACACAAACATTCAGTCTATAGCACCAGGCTTCATTGTAAATGCTTTATATGCATTCCAGTATATCATACAACCAGATATCAGGCCAGTACCACAATCACTCCTATTGTTCAGACGAGAGAATGGAGGCGGGGATTGGACTTGCCTTCAGTTACACCGCCAGGAAGTGGAGAGGACTCAAACCCAGGCAGTCTGACTCCAGAGCGCAGGCTCTCATAACCATGTTGGAATCTGGCAATTTCTACAGGGCATCCGTGTTCACGGCTGCGTGTTCATGACGGAGCTAGGATAGGTGCTGGGGTGCCCAATCTTCCGGCTGAGGCATAGAAAAAAGTCAAGCAGCTCACCCAAAGGACAAAGTGAGTAGCAGAGCTTGGTCTGGGGTCTCGCACTTTCAGCTTTCTGCCCGGTGCACCCTGCCCCCAGGCCAGGCATGTCTGGGCAGGCAGAGCCAGGCAGGTGGTCTGGGAGTCAAACAGGCATCAGGTACTAGGCCTGGGGGCCAGGCAGGTGTGCTGAATGGCAGGCACAGGGTATGACCTGCCATGGAAATGCAGCTGGGCATTGCGACAAAGTGTCCAAGCAGCAGCAAAAAGTGGAAGAAAAACAAATTTCCTGAGGATCTTCTATATGTCAGGTACTTTCACATACAACATTGGGGCTCATTTAATCCTTTCTACAGCCCTGAGAGCTTCTCATTTTAGACGTGAGAAAAAGGCATCAGCAAGACTTGGCCGAAGTGACCCAGCTAGGGGGGGGCAGACCAGCATTCCAGCCTCATCCGGGCACCTGGAGCTGTGGCCGTCTATTCCTTGGCCCCGTGCTGAGGCCCAGGAGCTCCTCTGACTTCCAGTCAAGGGCAGAAACTGTTCTTAGTGGGGTGCATAGGGCCAGTTGGCTGGAGTCTTGCAGGGGCAGAGAGCAATGGCCGTCTTTGTCACTTTCCTTTGAGGTCCAGCCCAGGGCAGTCCGAAGTTGAGGTCATCATCTCAGGCCGAGGCTGCCTTCACACCTCCCGAGTGGCTGAAGCCTGGGTGGGAGCAGAGGGTGCGCACTGTGCCCTCGAGTCACCTGCTGCAAAGGCTGTGCGCCCTGGGGCAGCTCTCGCCTGCGTGGGCTGGGGAGTGGGCGTGACTGGGGTGAGTCACTGGCTCAGTGGCACAGCAGATGGTCCCAGCTCTGGGACTTACTATTATCCCTCTTTTATGGATGAGGAAATGAGATTCAGGAATGTTGACTCACACAGCCAGTGCCTGGTAGGGCTGGCAGCAAGAGTTCCTGACCTTCAAAACTGTGTCCCCCAACCCTGCTGTCCCAAGACAGGTCCATCAGCAGCAAGCCATGTGGGGGTGACTCAGCAGCGGGGGCTGGTGTGGGGGAGGAGGGGGATGTGGGGCCGGGAGGGGCAGGATCTGGGGACTGGACAGGGGGCAACAACACCCTGTGCCCAACAAGGAGAGGTGTGTGTGGGCCTGACGTGGGCCAGGGTCAGGATCCGTGGGGCACAGTCCAGCAGGGGCCTCGCCAGCTATACCAGGCAGATCAACTCAGGCCAGGGCCGGTGGCAGAGCTCTGGGCAATACATCAACTTAGCACAAAACTCCACCCAGGCCATACAGCGAGGAAAAGGGGTGACAGGTGTAAAGAACCAAGGAGGAAGTCCAGGCTCAACTAGGGGAGCAAGAGGGCAGGCTGGGTGAGGACTTCTGAGTTTAAGAAGACCTAGGTTTGATTTCTGCTTGGTAGCTGAGTGACCTTGGGAAAGTTACTTAACCTCTCTGAGCCTCACCGTGTTTATCTACAGATGGGGAAGTGATGTAGGCACAGCGCAGCACAGGGTAGGAATCTGGGTGGCAGGGTGGAAAGTCTGTCCTGGCCTCTGGCCCCGTGGCTACATGCCTAGTCTCAGCTTCCACCTGCTGGTGAGGCTGAAATTCTGTCTGGGATCCTGCCGGGGTCAAAGCTGGACTGGGAACTAGGCTGGCCTCAGCCAGTGAGTGAAGGACAGAAGTGACGCGGGCCTAGGCAACACTGGCACTGACAATGCTGCCACCAAGGAAGTGACGATGGTAACAGAGACACTAGATACTTCCACTCAGAAAGCCCATATGGTTGAGACAAGCGCTGGGCTTTAAGTTTAAACTCAACTGGAAAAAAATATGTCGACAGGTTTGCCCCCCTCTTCTACTTGGAGGTCTCTGTAAAAGGGTGACATCAGTTCAGAAGCCGGGCTCCGCCTCCCACATCGCCTCCAAGCTTGATTAGGAGGCCCAAGTCTCCCCCCAAGGGCACTGGGTGGAAGGCAGCCAGAGGAGGGGTCTTTGCTGTAATACCACCCCTGGTTCGGGTCCCCTCGTGTCCCCAAGCACCTAGGAATGAGTGTTTTCTTAGAAGTCCCTGTCATCCACTAGTTGAAAAGTCCATTCATGTGGCTGCCTCTGGCCTTCTTTGTTGAAAAAAAGGAGGAAAATGAAAGTGTGTGTGGTGCCCTAAAAATTGCCACTTGGAATTAAATCAGAGAACTATTAGACAAAGGCAGCTTCTCGGGGCACCCCGTCTAGCTCCCTCACTGAAAAATCCCTCCTCCATATTGAGTTTTCTTTTTTTTTTTTTGAGACAGAGTCTCACTCTGTTGCCCTGGCTAGAGTGAGTGCCATGGTGTCAGCCTAGCTCACAGCAACCTCAAACTCCTGGGCTCAAGCGATCCTTCTGCCTCGGCCTCCTGAGTCGCTGGACTACAGGCATGCACCACCATGTCCGGCTAATTTTTTCTATACATTTTTAGTTGTCCAGCTGATTTCTTTCTATTTTTAGTAGAGATGGGGTCTCACCCTTGCTCAGGCTGGTCTCGAACTCCTGAGCTCAAACATCCACCTGCCTCGGCCTCCCAGAGTACTAGGATTACAGGCGTGAGCCACCGCGCCCGGCCGATATTGAGTTTTGGTCACCCCCCAGATGCATGAGCGGGTTCACAAAGGGGAACGTGAGACTTGAGACCCAGAGCAGCTGGTCCCCAAGAGCTGCTCTCACAACGAAGGGGGAACAAAGATGCCTAAACTCCCCTGGCCGCCTCTCTGCCCGGACGTGCATTTTCATTGATCTTCCTGGGAGGGAACGATCCTTCGTGAAATGCCCACTAAGGCGAGTAACAAGGGGGTGCGGGCAAAATCCCAGAGGGTCCCCCCAACCAGCCAAGCAGCCAGCCCTTCCAACTAAGAGCGGCCTCTCGTCCCCCAGTGAAGCCCGCCGGGATTTGGTCCCCGTCTCAGCGTCACAGCATCACCAAGGCCGGCCAACCTCCTCCGCTGCACTCACGCTAACTTCCGATCATCGCGCTCACAGGGATGCCTCCTCCACTGTCTGACAGCCACCCCCTTTCAGCAGAGCCCGAGACCCCCACCACCCCTTCCTCGTAGCTCAGGGTGGTCCCCAGCTCCGAGCTCAGGCACTGCTGGCTTGCTTGAAAGCAGCACGCTGCCCATTTCTAGAACTGAGTCACCAGCTAGACCGATGCCCCAAATCATCTGCAGCATTAAGGTTGGTGAAAAAAACCAAGGGGGAGATTTCGTGTTCCTGCAAAGCCGGAAGGGAAGAATTTTTTTTTTTTTGTAGGTATCAAGTTTCAGAAACCCTTTCAAGGGTGTCCTCTTCAATTCTCGGGCCAAGGAGAGGGAGCGTGTACTAGACCGAGGCGGTGGGGAACGTCAACTGCTGCCACCGGGTGGATTACTGACTGTCTCCTGGTTTAATCAGCCTCCGCAGGATGCCACCAAGCCTGCGAGCTCCTGCGGAGGAGGAGAGGGCTGATTTACAGCTCTCCAGGTTGCCGCTTCTTGGGGGCAAGCTCTGTTCTTCCTGCAAGACTCTTAAGAGCTCCCGGTCCGATCCGGTGCCTTTCTGTCATTCCCAAGCCAGCCTGCTGCCCCAGGAACAGCCTTGCGGGAGCCTTCCAGGCACCTGAAAAAATGTAAATTACTATTTGCATCAAGGGATGGCAAATGTGAGGGGGCCAGTCTCCCGGGTGGGGCAACAGAGGCCGGAAGTCATCCTTTGAAACAGCAGCTTCATCACACGCCACTACCCACAACAAACCGGAACAGAGCAACACCTAATTCTGCCCATCAAAGCTTCAGCGCCACTGATGTTTTATGGCAAAGAAACCCATGAAAGCCGAGGTGCTCGCTGGCCCCACGAAGGATGAGACCCTGGGCCGGACACCTCCCTGCCCCCCTGTCCACTCTCCACCTGCTCCTGGCTGTGGTGTAAGCCACAGGGCATGGAGGGGATCAGAGGAGGAAAGGAGGGAGTTTGTTCTGTTAGCTCCCTGCTGCGGGGTGACAGCAGGCTGGATTGTGCATCCCCAAGCACGGTCACATCTCTAGGCTCTAGAAGGACTCCTTCCCCGCCCCACATCAGGCCTGGGCTACAATGGCCTCACTATGACTAGTTCTCAGATAGAATACATAACCCCTGGGTGTTCCTACACCTGCTCTTAGAATGTCCTCAACTTACCCAATCTGAGTATGCCGTTGCCTGCCAAGACCCTGACTAATACAGGCATCACTGAGGCTGACACTTAATGCTCAAGTATTTATTATGTCCTTGAACCAGTGGCCTTGACCTGTTGTTCTGGGGCCAACTTCTCGATGCTGTCAACATGAAGATTAGAAGATCTCTGCCCTGACCCAGGCCACTGACTGCCAGGCCATGGGATCTGTTTGAAAACCCAGGCCTGCCACGCTGGTCCCTAGCACAGGGAGGCCCTCTGGTCCCTCTGGACCCTCTGGAATGAAGCCTGTTTATAGAAGGCCTGTCTTTCTGGGTTTTCTGGTCTGGTTGGTATGTGGTCTTTCACCCACAGAACGCGTGGGTCTGTTCACACTTGGGTGTGGGGCCTGAATACTGGCCATCCCGGGGGACTTCCTCTCCAGGGGGCCCCCTAAGGGTAGGGAGTGCTGAGAATTCTCTCACATCTTGCTGTCAGCTGGAAGGAGCAAGGCTGGAAGAATACGTAGAGCCTGCGGCTGGGTTTTGGCACTGGCTTTGTAAAAACTCAGAGTCCAACGCTGGCCACACCTTTCCGAGGGGCTATGGAGAAGGTGGAATGTTAACCATCGGCTATGAAGGTGACACCCCTGCTTTGTAACCGTGTCTTCTTCAAATGTCGCAGGAGTGCTCTGTTAAAACCTGTCTGGAACGCCTCTGCCTTGCATGGGACGGGCGTGGACATGGCTTGCTGGCATCCTGGGAGAGATGAGGCCCGAGTGTGCTCTGCTCTCTGCACCAAGTGAAACTCTAGCCCCTTCCTCCACACCCGAGCCTCCCAGGCTCCGCCTCCCCATCTTGCAGAGGCTCCGAAGCATCAGGCAGCACCGATGTCCTCCAGCTCCCTTCCTAGATGAGGTGCACCAGCAGGGCAGAGCAGGCCGAGCCCAGCAGCAAGCCCATGCACAAGTAAAAGGTCAACACCACCCCCGTGGCCTCGGCCAGCTCCCTGGGCACGATCTTAGGCCCGTAGATGAGAGCCAGGGTGCTGAGGTAGCCATTGCTGAGCCCCAGCAGGGAGCAGAAGAGGATGGGGTAGACGTCAGACTGGAAGACCACCGTCCGCAGGTGGACACGGGGCTGGTAGTTACAGAGCATGAAGAGGGGGACGAAGCAGGTCCGGAGCAGCACGAGCCCCGGGAGCACCTTGCTCTTGGGCCCGGGCACCTGGATCCAGGCCGTGAGCTGCCGGCCACACAGGTCAGCGAAGTTGTACAGTAGGAAGACGGTGATGGGGACGAAGAACTTGGTGGTCCACGGGGAGCCTGAGCCCTTGTCGAGGGACTCGATATTGGTGCAGATGGCGGGGTAGATGAGGCTGGTGATGAAGAAGACGTAGAGGACACAGAAGCCCAGGCCAGCCGTCGTCTTCAGGATGGGGCGCAGCGGTGGTATGTGGGAGTCACTGGATCCGGGGGCCACCAAAGGGGTGCTGGGAGAGTCCTGGGGCGGCTCCTCATCACCAGAAAACACACGGGTCGGACAAATGGGCCTCATGTAGTACCTGAAGGGAGGACAGAGGGCCACCGTAAAGCAGGTCACTTGGGATTTCCAGGGACGGGGAGCAAGAGACCTCAGAGTCTGCACAGCTGGGGGCGGGTGCCCAGAACAGAACTTTCGGGCCCAGCATGTAAAGTCCTAGCCCCACATGGCCCACCAGGCCTGGGTTCCCTGGGGTGCTACACGCTGTTGCAGGTTGGCCAGAGGAGGCCTGCACTTTCCCTGGCCTACCTGCCAGGCTGGACTCCTGTCCCTTGTTGTGGGTGGTGGCCGTGCCATGAGCCGGGACGGAGGAAACCAGCAATGACCATCACGTGGTAAGTCTGGACTCGAGTCCTGACTCATCTGCTTTTTTTCGTTGTCGTTGTTACTTTGTTATCTTGAGACAGGATCTCTGTCACCCAGGTGCATCATAGCTCACTGCAGCCTTGAACTCTTGGGCTCAAATGATCCTCCTGCCTCAGCCTCCCCAGTAGCTGAGACTACAGGAATGTGCCACCATGCCTGGCTAATTTTTAAATTTTTTATAGAGACAAGGTCTTTCTATGTTGCCCAGGCTGGTCTTAAAGTCTTGGGCTTGAGAGATCTTCCTGCCTCAGACTCCCAGAGTGCTGGGATTACAGGCGTGAGCCACCCTGTTCCTGGTCATGGCTCACCTGTTTTTGTAATATTTGCAGTGGGGAGA